ACCAATTCTCATCACCACGATTTGTAAATATATTTGAACATGCGTGGTGGAAGAGTGGTTACATTACAGAAAAGCCTGATAAAGTTCAAACGTCTGTACAAATCAAATGAGCTTGGTGTACTATGCTTTCGTGTATACAACACTATTATGCCACCCATGAAAATAATAATTTTTCACTTTACTGTAAAAAATACGTTAAATGAATATTTTAATACACAACTACCAATCTTTAGTTTCAACGAAAAAACATTGAAAACAAAATCTTCAACAAAAAAACGCGAAGTGCTTGTCTAATCTAACATGATAATTAAGCACCCTAAATGTAAGAGGTAAGGAAACTCACGATAATCAAGCACCTCAAAAGTGAGATGCAAGAGGACTCACGATAATCTAGCAAGACGGCTTAAAAGAGTCTAGAAGGCTTCAGTTTAGCTATCATACTGAAACATTTACAACATCGAATAAAATTTTAATTCTAATCACATAAAATCAAATAATTGAACTCGCTATTTCCACGGTTATGTAGGTTGGGCTGCTTGGGGTTTGATAGAGTTGGCCTTAGGGTAGGGGGTGGGGATTGAAGGCATAGAGATAGCTGTTTAGGTGGAATTGAATGGTTATATGATAGGTAGTCAAGCTATCTATTTGTATTTAATTCTATTATTTTATGAAAAACAGGCGTGGTATAAGTTTCGACCCCTTAAATTTGGGTCGATATAAAAAAACGTGTCTAATATTTTTGAACATTTTATCCATGTGGAAAATTTCATTCAATTTGGTGAGTGACACTTGGCTATTGTTGCGAATTGTTACTTTAATTAGCGATTCACGATAGGACTACCTTAAAGTTGTTGTTATGTCCAATTTTTTATATCTTGAATCTTCTTTTATCGAATAGTTATTATAAATATTAATTTGTAAATTCATATGCACATACAAAATAGTACATATGTAACATTTACTAAATTTCAAGTTTTTAATCGTCATATTTTTTTGCTTTACGTACTCTTGGGGCCTGCAATGGCTTGGTCGATAGGGCGATGGACTTGCGCCCGGTAGGTCCGGATTCGATTCCCAGTCCCATGCTGATTGATACAAGCACCACTGAAAAAAGTTTTAATTTATTAAACAAAATAAAAAAAAACTTTACCTACTCGTATCTGTAATCTGGAAGCATCCTGATGAATGAAATAATAGTAATAACGATAATCACGATATTTTCACTTTTTCTTACACAATATAAGAATAAATCAAGCAGTTTAGTAGCAGATAGTTTAATGTTGATCTAATTCTAGTTTATTTTGTCAAGCCGATTATTTACAAATAACTGTTGTGCATATAACAATTGTGCAATACTAAAATATTGGAACACACACGCATACACAAACAATTTCTGTATATTCAAAGCATTACTATTTAAATTGTATTTATGGATACACAATTGTGTTTATATTGATTTAAAGAGTGGTTTCGATGCCGAGACTTACGATCGCTGAATTTATAATACAAAGTGTAATCGCGAAGCGACTGATGAAATATTGTGAATTAATGCATTAATAAAAACGGTGAGTGAGCAAAGAAAGCGTATTAAACAATTAAAGTGTGAAGCTATTGCGCAAAATCACGGGAATGATAAGATTGCTAAAATAGAACGTTGAATTATAGATAACGCGAAAATATAAGATGACATTGTACTTGTTTTTAAACAAATAGTAAAGAACTGTGAAAATGTAATTCGAGTGATTGACATATATATCCTGTCAACAACGTTTATCTATTCCGTATTAAGATTATTTTTTTGATACATTACTTATATTCTTATTTTTATAAAATACCGATCATAAATTGCCTAACATTTTGTGAAAGAAAAGCTATTCTTTAAACAACAATATCGTCGATTCTATTGATCATAAAATAAAAATAAAAAAAGCAAATGTAAGTAGAGGCTAAATACTAACTTTCCATGGAGCGCGAAAATTGTTTAAGTCATTTTTTTTGTGTTTTATACCACTTTAAAAAGTATCAATTTTCCAAAGGATTTTTTATTTTTTTATATTAACAATAAAATGTATATATAAAATTTAAAGCTTAGTAATACAAATTTTTTCCAGAACTTTTAAACACATTTTTTATACAACTTTTTAATAGTAATAAAGTTGACCTTCATGTGACTTTGAAGATTGAGTTCAAGGACAAGTTATTCAAGTGTAAGTGTAATCATTTAAAATAGGTAAGGAATTTTTTTAAAAAGTATCGTAGCGAAAAAGTTCGTCAGTAATAAATTTTGAAGTTTTTTCAAGATTTTTTGATTTATAACAGAATTTTTTACCTATCACCGATATTTTCAAAAATACAAATGATTAAAGAAATTAAAAACCTTTTAGAAAATTGACACTTTTTAAAGTGATATTAGAAATATAAAAACATAACTAAAAAATATTTGATTAATAGAATCGGCAATATTCTTGCTTAATAAATGGCTTTTCTTTTACAAAATTTTCAGAAATTTATGAACGGTACTGTAATGCAGCGGTAATCGATTAGAAATATCGACTCGTTCGTGATTTGGACGTACTCGAGGTGCGAAAGCAAGCGATTAGGATAGAGAAAGGACGCGCTAAGCGTTTTAGATAGATGAAGCGCGCGAACAGTATGATCTGATCCGTCAGCTGGTAAGGCCATGTACTGAAAAAAAAGACTTTGCCGTTAGTGAGAGTCAGCAGAGGAAAAAGCACAAGCACACGAAGATAACATTAGTGTCGGTGCAGCAGAGGCATTGAGAAGGATACGCAACCATTCATGACAACTGCAGGAACAGCAGCAATTTGACCCGGAATATCCGAAGACTGAAAGTTTGTTCGCTCCGTTACGGGTGATTACCGTAACCGTAACTCAGGGCAAGTGCATCTATCAATATCCATGATATTCATGTGTAACGGTCCAGTCTGATTTGTCCCCCTTTTTTTTTCTCTGCAAAGTAGCAACCCGTCATACACAAGACAATCAAAGAAAAGCGGTAATTGAGCGAAGGCGCTTTTCTCACATATATGCAAATGTGTTAGGGCAACTCTGCAAAAAAATTACCATATAAGGAGCGTGACGTCACAACCGTGGGAAATTTATTGTTTAAAATAGAAAATCGACAATTATAAAGTTTTTCGAATGAACAAAAGTATTTTATAGTCAATTTTGATGAGCTGATTCTGAATTTCATGTCGTTATAACTCTCAAGTCGGTATTTATTAGTCAAATTTAATTTACAAGTAGATAGTGTTAGTTATTTTGCAATAAATAATTATATTGTTAATTCGAGTATGCGATTACGTCCGCGACGTATTGAAACAGAAAAGCAAGAATTTGACACTTTGATAACTAATTATTCACTAAGTTATCAATAAATAAAAAATTTATAATTTTTTAAAACAATTAAAATTGCACTGTTAGATAGCGAATCGATCGTACGTATCTGTAAAATTAATGATTATGATTGTTACTAATTTGCTGATTTTTAAATCGTTAAAAAAGAAATTTGCAAATCCGTTTTTTAATTATTATTCAAAATTAGATAGCTACATTAATCATTTTTAACTTGAATAACGTTCCGCTAATTACAAGCGATTTTTTCATGTAAAAATTTTCCGTAAATTTATTGTAAAATTGGCGTAATTTGATTATTGAATTGTATAACTTATAACTTTAAAAGGCGATTTTTCCTCGAGAATCGATTTATATTAAAAAATTCGTCATTTCATACTTAATTTTTTAAATTATAAAATTGCAATTTCGATCGAGCCATTTTGCGACAAAACATGTGCAAAGTTTGTATCAATTTCGAAAATAGCGTTGTAGGGGCTACCAAGCGTAGAAAGGAGCCCATTTCGCAAGTATAAATTCGCTCGTCGCTGCGGCAAGAGGATTCACTATACTACCTTGCTTAGCAGCGCGAGCACTGTTAGAGAAATAAAGCCTCAGCAATTTCCTGAGATAAATTTCTTATTCAGTGGTTAGCCTGCTAACTCCTATCCAATAGATATCTAAGCGCTCAACTCATGAGACTATCTCTCTCATGAGAAAAAAGTAGCCTTAGATATCTTCCTACCTCAAATACTATTACTGTTAAGAAATTAAGTTGAGTATTGGTTGCAGCGCTGTCGGGCCTCTCCCCGATAGATGTAATCACGCTCAATTGCATTTCAAGACAATTCATCGAGTTAGAAAGCCTTGGGTTTGCTACTCGAAAGATTTTTATATATCATTTAAAACACACGCGTGTCAACTTCTTGCTTCTCTCGGAGACGCGATTGCGAATTCAATAGAAAGAGTCCGAACTATTGTTTTGATAACTTGAGATAGATTCGAACGTTACACATGTTAGTTAGTACCGCGTGAATAATTTAATGCATGCGCTAAATAACCCTTTCGAAAGTCGTGCCACAACGTTAGTACGCGTATAATTTATACTTTCTCTCTCTATTTCTTCCTGGATTATATTGCGATACACGAGCGAAAGTCTTTTGGTCCGTATAAAGACTGTGTATTTTAATCCCTTATAAAAGGATTTAGAATAATTCACCGACTTGCGATCATTTGTTCCTTGCTTAACGTTAAATCTAATCCCCAGAATTTAAACCGATTTTGTCTAGGGGATTTTGTGGAATATATAATTGTAATTTTTCGGATCAAAAGAGCCGATGTATTGATACAAACTTCGCATGTAACTCTTAAAATTGTAACAACAGTAAGATTTTTCAAAAACAACCAAAAATATGTTAGTATAACATTTCGAAATAAATGTAGAGTTACATGTAGAAAATAAAATTCGTGATGCCGATCAGACACATCTATTATGTAGCCAACTCTCAAAAGCTTCAAAACACTTTAATATTAAACAACATGATTCTATCAAATTCTAATATTTGACAGAACCAAGGTCGAGGGTGGGTATGTACATTTATTTTAATTTACAAAAGTAATTGTATCATCATAATAAAATACTTTTTTTAATAACATTTACAATAGGAACGTCTGTTGAAAACTTCGATAATAATTATAACATTTATATAAAAAAAATAGAACATATTCCCAACTTATGTGATTGCAGATATTACAGTTGTAACTGTTTTATGCAACATCATTATAACACAAATATTTATTATTAACATGACTATCATCACCGTGATTATTATCATCATTATATAATTATCAACATCATTCTTTAAATATAAGTATTCTTCATTTCATCACCAAAAACAACTTTTTAATTAAGAGTTGTTCATCCTACGTGGAAAAATTACATCAGTTTATAAATTAAAAAAATAGTACATCACTCTACTAGTAATCATTACAGTAGTGCACGGTAAAGCGGTGACGTTATACCCTCAGTAGGAGATACAGAACCACATTAATTGTCTAAAATTAAAATTTCTTACGGATATCGGATGTCGATAAAGGTTCCTATCTTACTTTGAAAAAGATTTCGAAATTTTTTTAAGAACAAATGCATTTTCATAACTTTTCAGATTATTTTGCTCTTCATTACTTTAATAAAAAGTATTTGTCAATAGTTTAATGAAAAATTGATTTATTTATTTGTAAAAAAAGTTTGAAAACCTTTTAACAAACATTCTTCTATTGCTTTCTGGTTGTTTGCAGTCCTTTTTTCAAACTTTTCTTAAAAATAAAAGAACCAATTGTTATAAAATTTCGGAAGATACCTTTCATGAATAATATAAAGAGCGGGAAAGTGCGTTTTTTCTTTAGAAAATATGGAAAATCATATTGATAACTAAATAGGACTCAGTCGGTAACATTCCGTCCTCTTAAAGTATAATTCAAGCCTGATGATTTGAACAATAAAACCATGCATCGCCTATACACGAGACACTTTACTCTCAGGCTATTATCCATGTAATTCTGTGTTCCTTACTAGGAAGATATACATCAATTTAGTGCTGAGAAAAATTTTTCTTCACACACCGTACTTTTTAATAGCGAAATGTACTATTTCGAACATTTACTTATCATATGTTTTCAAATACGATATTATATTTTTGTTTTTATTTACACATTTTTTTAAATTGATTCAAATGTTATTTATGGCAGCTTGTTACTTAACTTTTAAGAATTTAATAATTCACTCAATTCCAAACAATTCGTTGAAGGAGATATGATATACAATCCTAAATAGTATAATTTGTATTATTATTAAATCTGCATCCATTTAGAAAAACTATCTTGAAACCTTATGTTTTTTTTATCATGCTCATATTGTACATTCTTATTCTTTTTATTATCTGTTATTATCATGATCTTATTATTCTGTATTTCAGCTCCATATTCAGAAACTTATTCCATTTTTTAAATCTTTTTAATGTCTTACTATTTTCTATCGCTCTTGAAATAATTTTCTTCGTATCTTTTTCGGTAGTTGATGCCTCCAAACTATCTGAAATCAATATTTAATCAATTATTAATAACCTAATTTTTTTATATGTAATTGTGATCTACTACTTGATAGTATAGTATCAGTCACTAAATCTGTAATATAGGTTTTTCTTCATCATAAGAGCTCTTGGTTATTTAGCACAGCTTATTTTCATTGATACCCACTGTTTAAGTTATATTTTTTTTGCACTTGTTAATGCTATAAATTATAGGAGACCAAAAAAATAAGCAATGATTGGTTATCAAGAAAATCACCAGTCCTGCGGACGTCTAATATTTATGAAACTTTAGGGAAACATTTCTTATGAAAAATAAAAAGATACGAGTCCTCAGTAGCTCATTCCACATATTGGAGGTTACCAATTAGAAGCCGAGATATAATCCTTCTATTCGAATTATAAGTCAAAAAATTTTGAAACACTTAAGAGTTATACTGAAACCAAAATATATCGAGCCGGTTTTTTGGTACTAGAAATCGACTAGTATTCATTTACAAATTTTAAAGTCATAAATTTAGAGTGGTGTGGCCTAATCCGAATAAACTCATTTAACAGAAGAGGTTGATCTCAACTTTCTATCATGAACATTTAAATTGCAGCAAATAAACAAATAATTTTTATAATAAAAATGGGCGTGATGTGATCTCCTCGTAAATAAAAGACCTAGCACTCAACCCCGTGTTTTTGTCCTTTAATAAGTTTTTTAAAAACTTTTTTATAGTAGACTTTGATATGCTGAACAGAAGTTATGCACAGTGAACATAGCGGCAGAAGCGAATTTTTATTTTTTCAACTTTATCAATTTTTTTCTCGAAATCTATGGACTTTAGAAAAAAATTCATAAAAACAAAAATGTCTTAGAATCACTCGAGAAACATCCTAAAATTTTTTCAGAATTTTTGGAGACATTTTTGAAAATTCCATTTCCCAAGTTTCCCGGAAAATCAAAAATTGTCTCAAAAAATTCTGAAAAAATTTGAGAATGTTCCTCGAGCGATTCTAAGGCATTTTTGTTTTTATGAATTTTTTTCTAAAGACCATAGATTTTGAGAAAAAAGTTGATAAAGATTGAAAAAAAAAATTCGTTTTTTCCGCCATTTTGTAAAGAAGCGATGGTTCAAGGTAAACAAAAAAATTCCCTGTTAAACTTCAAATCCCATGATCACCTTTGATCACGGTCGCAAGGTGATATCTTCACCGTAACACTTCGAAAAAAAATCCTAAAAATTTTTTTTTTCGAAAATTTAGGTGTTTTTTATGTTTCAATCGAGCATATCTCTTTTCCTGTGAGTTTTATCATGATTCTGGCAACGGATTCTGAAAGAGCATGCAATTTTACATCAGAATATGTGGTTCAAGAATTTTTTCAACGCCAATTACATAGGAAAAAATCACTTTGAAAACGTGCAAGAAATTTTGACATTTTGGACGTTAATGGGTTAAGAAAAGGTTTATTAAAGTTGCGTATTACAGTATGGGTTATGACAAGTAATAAAATAAAATAAAAATTTTTTTCGAATTTTTGAGTTTTCGGAGGAATGCTCTGATAAGTAAAACAACAATTATGTAATTAACTTTTATATAATATTTACAACTACCGTTGTTTTCAGTTACTCCAATTATTACTGTGAATACTTTTAGAGTTTCTCTAGACGATATAGAATAATAATGACAATATTGAATAATAAAAACACTCTAGTCTGGATTATAATTATTATAAAACATTTTCAAGTAATATTCAACAATCCCCTATTGCAAAAAATGACGTCATAAAAAGACGTCTTTCAAAGACGTCTTTTTATGATGTCATGTGTCACGTCCTGATTTGGTACATAAAAAGACGTCATTTTCCAACTTTTTTAACCAGTAAAATCTGAAAAGACGTCTTTTCCTCCCGCAAAAGACGTCATTTTTCAACTTTTTTAACCAGTAAAATCTGAAAAGACGTCTTTTCCTCTCGCTAAAGACGTCATTTTTCAACTTTTTTAACCAGTAAAATCTGAAAAGACGTCTTTTTCTCCCGTAAAAGATGTCATTTTTCAACTTTCGTATCGAAATCTCAAAAGATGTAAAAAATAATGTCATTTACAAAAATTTTATGTACAATCATTTGAAATAATGTATCTTTCTTTATTCATTAATCTTGAGTACAAAAATGCAATTTAAAAAATTCCAAATAATAAATTTAAGAAATATCCTTGAACATTTTCTATGTTACATTGTAATATTTTTCTGTATAGAAAATAAAAAAGAACACATTTTTTCGTTTATAAGAACTCAAATCAAGCAGAATGATTGTTTATCATTCGTACATTTAAATAATACAAGGCCTATAAATATCTAATAAATTATCTTAAGTAATATTAGAAATTTGTACGATCCAACAAACTTTAAAATATTTAAAACTGAAATTATGAATTAAAAATCATTTCAACGTTCTCTGTTATTCAGTTTTCATTGGTACCATCTTCTGGTTGGGCATAGGATTCAGCATCATCTTCATCCATCTCGCCATCAGTCAAAGAATTTTTGGAAGGCAAAACAGGTGATTTTAGATCCTTCGCTCTTTCTTGGTCAACAAGAATACCGAGTTCCCTTCCGAACTTGCTAATAAGACTCTTAGCTTTCTTTTTAGCTCTTCAATGGTAGATGGGTTACCGTCAATGAGTCTATTTTCAATTAGATATTGAGCATATCCCCCTGCAAAAAAAAAATTATGTATATAAAAGAGAATGAAATAAAACTAAATTTTCAAGAAATTTTACAATCATACTCTTTAATTCCTCAAATTTTTTAGGTTCAAATTTCTCTCTAACGTCTAGACTTGTCGTTCTTTCAACTTGTACAGCTTTCTTAATAAATGTTGCATGCTCCCAAATGTGAGGTGTAGCCAAAATACGCAGAAACGCCCTCGATGACTTAGCTTTGAGTGCTTTTTTCCATTTAATATATGGAACTGACACATTGAAATGTAAATGGAACATGGTACGCTGCAAAAGAAAATAATTGTTATAATGCTATAATTTTGCAAGTCGATAAAAACATACCTTAACCATTAATCCAGTTTTAGGATCTTTTGTATCTTCCTTCCACAAGCTCAGTTTCGGTAATTTTGTTTCTTCTGTATCAGAAGATTCCCAGTCATCACTATCGTAAAGGCATGGTTTTCCTTTTCGTTTATATCTAGAATTTTGTTTAGATTCTTTTTTTGACTTTCCCTTGTTGCTCAATTTCTGCTTTTTCTTAGGTGGACTGGTGACGACATTATTACTACATGTGGAAGCAGCAGAGTTCTTTAATAGGGCCGTTGAGACAGGTGCCTTTTCAGGATTTATTGGTGTTATTCTTCGACGCAGTGATCTTCTTGGTGTAAAAAACAACGTGTCTGTAATATATGATGAAAATAAAGTTTTCCAGTGTATTATAATAACGATTAAATTTATTATAAATATGTACGCAAATGAACTTACTAGATATGAAGTTTCTCTGCTTGGCGCCGTGCGTTGGAGTCATCAAGTTATTATCAATTAAGGCAGAATCAGCATGTGTCTTATCTTGTAATGCTGCTCGCAGCTGAGCAATGATAATGTCTTTTTCTTGTAAAGCTTTGAAAGCATCATTTTCAGTAGCCTCCACATTTTCAAAGGCCAATTTCGTCATTGATGTTGCAGTTATTGCTGCGTCTTTTAAAGCGTCATCAATATTTTTAGGAGAAGGCAGAGGAAAAACATTCTACAACGATGGAATGATCATTAATGCATACACATATATGAATATACACATGGGTACATGTAAAAATCAAACGCCATACTCTTGTTTTTCGCTGATCAGCATCTCTCTTATTTTCCAATTGAGTCGTAGACTGTGAGTGCTTCTGTGCTTTCATTTCTTCTGCAGCAAGTTCACGTATGACATCACTCCTTCTTACATTCGGTTTAGTATACCTTTTCTTTTGTAAGGACTCCTTGTTGTCTAGTTAAAAGAAAAATATTTATCAGTTAGTTAGAATTTGTGTACAAATGTTTGACGATAAAATGATTTTGAATCGTTCTTATCAGACATAGCTAAAACAAAGCCAGGTTCATACACAATCTCACCATCTTCATCAAGATCTGTCATTATGTAAGCTTTGTATGGAACACGTCTATTAGGATCAAAATTTTTGATATCGGTAACAGTCTTAATTTCTATTTCTCCTTTGCCAACACATAATCTGATAGCTACAAAGTTTACATTACTTGATGGCTGATTTGATGATAAATCATTTCTTGGACTGTTATCAGGAAAATTACTCGGCATTATATTTTTGGCATTATATTGTTTAGGTGTAGATCCCACATTTTTGTGCTTGACGTTGTTAGGCGGACTTTTGGCAGACTGAACAACATGCTTGATGCCTGGCTTTATAGCTAACTTAGGACTTCTAGCAAATCTACCTGGTCTAGACATATCTAAGGCTGTTGACTCTATAACAATAATATTTTTTCAAAAATAATATGTTCATATCATAATTAATTAACAAGCAGTCTTCTAATTGAATCATGCACCTATGTCAAGCAGAAAATATTTTTATGTAAAATGATTGAAATTATGAGTAGATTATAGTAGAAAGAATATTATCTATTTTCGTTTGATTCATGTTCATTTTTTAATAACACAAAGATATTTTTTAAATCACGTACTTGCATGAACATAAATGATGAGTATATGAAACATATTGAAAAACATTTTGTGATTTAAATTGTATATCATACAATGGTATACACTGCTCATTAATTTTTGTATAAAATAGTTTAAATAAATGTACTAATATTTTGAAATTAATTTTAATAAACTTTGACTTTACAGTTTTCTATTGTAATTTTAAAAAACTACTCAATCAAGATACTTCACAATTACATTGATTTTGCAATTTCTTTCGTTCAATTTATGAAAAAATCTCATGAAAAAAAGCAGTAACGAATAAAGTTTGACTAGGTAATTTCAATAGTTCCACAACTGATTTTCTGTCTCATTATATGATTATTTGATTACATACCTACGATTTTTTTTGAAGGTGGTTGATCTACAGAATGAAATTCCTTTCAGAAAAGAAGAAAATAAAATGTCAAACAAAATTTCTTCATCGTCACTCTGAAAATATTTTTTCAACTAACTAGGCTAACTACACTCTGTATTAATTGTTTCTTATAACCTCGAAATCGATGAATTTGCGTACGTTTTTACAGAATCGAGCCAATAAATAACTTCTACACTTTCTTATTTTCCCAAAAATTAGCAAAGAACAAAAAAAAGGAAAATATTAGTATTTGAGGCTTGATGCTGAAACTGGTTTTTCCGGGCTGTCACAAGAGTGCACGTTTTTCTTTGTTCTTTTTTTTCTTTTGTCATCAATAAGACCGACCGCTGCTGCGCTGCTTGCTATATATCGGGATTCTCGACCGTGATTGGTTGGAGTGATGAAGCAGGGAAGCCTTAAGCCAAGCCAAGGCGGGAAACAGGGCAGGTAGTCGACTAAAGCCGACAGCATGCGGCAATAAAAGCTAGAGGTTAGAGGGACGAGAAGTTTTTTTGCTGTTCGTTAGCGCTAATTAAAAATTGTATAGTTAAAAATACAAAGTTACTAAGTAACATAACAATTGGTTCCAAATTGCTGTAAAGAGTACATTAAAGAAGTTATTTTTTCAAGTAAGTATCAATACAAAATACTGATACGTTGTACTATATCAAACCTAGTCATTCATTTCAATATTTAGAGACTGTTTTGGGGGCAATAAGTCTTGCGCGAAATTTCATTTATTACTTCAACGTTTATATTTCACGTATGATATAATTCGTGCACGTTGACTTATATACTTTTTTAGAATACCTTAGATTCTATTAAGTTTGTTAGTTGTACAATTTAATATTGTCAAATTGTGTTATTGTAATAATGTTTCTTAGTTATCACCAATTATGCTAATCCATTTTACAATGTTATTATTATTCTAGTTGGTTTATTCAAATAATGGCACAGTACAACATGGGTAGACATGATCCTACCATCGAAACACCACGAAGAACAAGAGCAAGAAATAACCGTCAATTTCAAAGAAGAAATCAATCATCATCATCGGACTCCAGCATTGCAAACCAACGATGGAGAGATAATTACCTAGTGAGTATTAATTGTGATTTTGTAGTTACTTTATTGTACCAAAAAATAAGTAAAATGTATTTTAGAAATGAAAAAATATAATGAAAATGATATTGTATATAACTTTTTTATTCTATTGTTTCAGTTAGTCTCTGCATTAATTCATTCAGTTGGTGACGATTCAGAAAATGCAAGTACATCAACAGCAAGTTCTGAATCAGAGGGCAACTTGGACAACTCCTCATCGTCAAATTCAGAACAAGATGTTGTTGAAAGACTAGATAACTTGCAACAGCGATCACCAAATGGTGACTACAGACAGGTATGTTGATTCAACCAATATTTCCTGCATGAAATTAGCTAAGAATGACGTAATATTTATGCACTACAATCAATTTTTAGACATCAACCTCTTCCACCGAAAATTCTAATGATGATAGACGGTTAAATCATGTATCAAGTGGAGCTGATTCAGAAGATTCTGATGTAAGTACAAGTTTTGTCAGTTTTATGTATGAACAAGAATTTTAAATTTAAATACATATATATAGAGAGATGTTCATGCAAAAAATTCATTCATTTATTTTGTCTTTTGGGTAGTTGTTGTAATAGGTCACAACTATAGGGAAAAATTTTGTAAATCTTTACATAGTTTATGATTCTAAATTTATATTGTAGACATTTTTTTATGAGAAATTACAATAAATCTGTCTGTATTATTTGCATAACAAATATCTATATAATATAAAAAAGAAATATTATATACAGAAACGTGACCAGGTAAAAACATGTACTGTATGTAATTTCTGTACAAAAAATAATAATGAAGCCTTTAAAAAAAAACTTCTTTTCTGTTCTTCAATGTACACAAATTTTTTTGGATTCACAGCCTATAAAAAAAAATTAAGGGGGTAGGATACCCTTATGCACTTTTTTACATTTTTTACTTAAAAGACTTGAACATCAACACTTTTCACAAATAAATTACATATTCTTAATCTACTCCACCTGTTGTAACCAAAACCATCCTCAAAAAGTTCATTTGTGCACTCCTATCCATATATATCCATCAAAACATATTTTTGGCTTGCGCGCAGAATCCTGTCACCAAAAATCAACCAAAACACTTCTGCCGAGACTTAAAATTTTCCTGAAAACCTACAGAATACAATGAAGCTATGTGTATGAATTATTTCATGCCTCGAGTATTTTATTTTCTTAGTTGAAGACAAAAAATGAGCACAAAAAAAGATGAATTTTGATATTTTTTCATTATTTGGACTATAAAAACCCTTTAACAAACTCTGGACTCAATATAAATAGCTTCACTGTATTCTGCAGGTTCTTAGAAAAATTTTAAGCCTCGGCAGAAGTATTTTGATTGAGAATTCACTCTAGGAGACTGCGTGCAAGCCAATAAAAGTGAATTGCTAGAAAACTCAAAACAAAGATTGACATGAAAACTTGACATAAACTTTCTATATCAACTGTTATCACCCACTAGAACTTTGCATACACTCAGTATTACATAGTCACCACATACGAGGTGTGTTCAAAAAGTAACGAGAATTTTTAAATTTCGCGGGTTTGAGAGTCCGCTTGTATAAAATTTTTTTTTATTATGTTGGTACACATGCCCCTGAAGTACGATAAAATTTTCAGCAATATTCATTGCTTACTTTTTAAGTGGCAGCCGCTAACGTTAGACGTGTTTTTCGAGCTCGGCGATTTTCGTTTGTGAAAAAAAATGGATCAAAGAATTTGTATTAAATTTTGCGTAAAAAATGAAATAAAGTGTAGTAAAGTTTGTCAAATGTTAACAAAGGCATATAGTGAGTCTGCTATGAGTAAAGCAAGGATTTATGAGTGGTATAAGTGTTTCCAAGATGGCCACGAAAACGTTGAAGATGACGAACGACCCGGACGCCCAAGCACATCAACAACCGATGTAAACGTGAAAAAAGTGAAAGAAATGGTTATGAACGATCGCCGAATCACAATCAGAGAAGTCGCTGATGATGTTGGCATATCAGTTGGCTCATGCCATCAAATTTTTTCGAATGTTTTGGGTATGAAACGTGTGGCAGCAAAATTCGTTCCAAAATTGTTGAATTTCGAACAAAAACAGCGGCGAATGGAAGTTGCTCAGGAGTCGCTAAATGAAGTCAATAACGATACAGAACTACTAAAACGTGTTATAACAGGTGACGAAACATGGGTTTACGGATATAATGTCGAAACTAAGGCTCAATCGTCCCAGTGGAGGCATTCTGGATCGCCAAGACCGAAAAAGGCTCGACAAGTACGGTCGAATGTGAAGGTTATGCTCACTGTGTTCTTCGATTTTAATGGCATAGTGCATTATGAATTCTTGCCACAAGGTCAAACAATCAATAAGCAGTACTACCTACAAGTTCAACGTCGTTTGCGTGAAGCAATCCGAAAAAAACGCCCGGATTTGTGGCAAAACAATTCATGGCTTTTGCACCACGATAATGCGCCTGCTCACACTTCATTGCTTGTTCGTGAATTTTTGGCCAAAAACGAAACTGTAACGATGCCTCAGCCTCCATATTCGCCAGATATGGCTCCATGTGACTTTTTTCTATTTCCAAAAATAAAGAGAACATTAAAAGGCCGTCGTTTTACAAGCATAGATGACATTAAAAGCGAATCGCTGAAAGAGCTAAAAGCTATTACAAAGGTCGAGTTTCAAAAGTGTTTCGAGGATTGGAAAAAGCGTTGGCATAAGTGTATTGTATCCGAAGGGGACTACTTTGAAGGCGACAACATTAATGTAGATGAATAAATAAATATTTTTTTCATAAAACGAAACATCTCGTTATTTTTTGAACACACCTCGTAGTTACTTGATTTACACTGTCCCAGCTACATGTCATCAGATCTTGGACTCGTACAGATGGTTATTAACTTGAATTATCATAATGTATGAAGTCGTACACATGGTTTTTAACTTGAATTCACACATTCAACACGTAACTACATTTATTTTTCAATTAGAACGTTGACTTTCATAAATTGTATTTATATCTCCATGTATCCTCAACACTGTTTCAATCAAATATCAATAAACTTTTTTTAAGAATCAGTCAAAACTAACATTCATACACAGTCTCACTAGTAAAAAAAACTGCACCCCAAGATTATAACACTTCGAGCTATTATTTTTTTAATTCAATAACTAAACTTCAAAAAGTCAACTAGAGTCTTTGTTTACTTTCTTTGGATGCTTTCTGCTAGGTACATACTGGTCTGTTTTTGTCAAGCATAGAAGTACAAACAATATAGATGGCTAAACAGCAGTTATCTACCCCACCTACTCTAGGTCATGTTTGTAGTTTATGGTTCAGTTCAAACTATTTCAAAGTATACATCTTTTTTATGTGAAAAATATTAGTTTTTTTATGAAAAATTAATTCCACAAAACATTTAGAATGAATATAAGTACAAAAAATAATTTGGCATTTTACAATTTTTGGGGTATCCTACCCCCTTAAATTACGTCTTTTCTATAAAAAAATGTTTTTTTCCAAAATTTGTTTAAAAAATGTTTTAAAAAATGTATTAAAAAATGCCGGCCTATAACGTAATTTTTCATATGAAAAAATACGTCTTTTTAAATTTAGAGCCTACAGAAAAATAATAAATCACGATATTTTTTTAAAGTTCACAACGGGAAAAAATGACGATTTTCGGTGATGGTTTTTTTTTATTGAGCTTTAAAATCATTTACAAATTTTAAAGCTCAATAAAAATAATAATAATAATAAAATAAATATAAAAAAACATCACCGAAAATCGTCATTTTTCCCCAACGTGAACGCGTCTCCGATTAACAACTTTCTCATCGTCGACGGAACGTCATTAACGTATCAACAATTACAAAATTAATGGTATGAATTTCGGTGATGGTTATGACGAGAAGATTTAGTTGTCAAGTTGGGCAGATTGGATAGAGGTTTTTTCTTGTTATGTTTTGCACTAATATAGGTTTATTGTCCCCTATATTAAATACAATTAGCACAGTGAGAAATTATCTGAACTTACGGAGGTAATAATCAACCGAATGATGTGCGTACCGAAAGGGCTTTATAATTTGGAGCAAGCAGTATCTGTACCAAAATTCGAGTAGATTAAATCAAATTCACTCTAGTTATTGAGGAAACTAAACAGACTTACTTTCAAACAAAAACATTTTTTCTTCATGCAATTCTCTAAATAATGCAATTATTGATATCAAAT